CTATAGCTGCTTTGTTTGTTTGTGTTGTTGTTTCTATAGCTGTTGTTGTTATTTCTATAGCTGCTGTTAATGTAATGTTTCTCCAGCTGCTGCTGCTGTTTCTATAGCTGATGTTTTTATTTTTGCTGTTGTTCTTGACTCTGAAGCAGCTGTTGTTTCTGTAGCTTTGCTCTAGTTACTGATAATGTTGTTTTCTGTTGTTACTTTTTCTTCTGTTATTTTTACTGTAGCTTTTGTTTTTGTTTCTGTTGCTGCTTTTGTTGTTGTTTTTTGTTGCTGTTGTTTTTTATAGAGCTGTTGTTGTTTCTTATAACGTTGTTGTTTTTGTTGCTACTTTTGTTTCTGTACTTTGTTGTTGTTGTTGTTGTTGTTGTTGTTGTTGTTGTTGTTGTTGTTGTTGCTGCTGCTCTTGACCAATCAGCCTCCTCTTGTCTCAGGTCGTCGCTTACTACCCAGACCTCGGCCCCTCCCTCTCCTTGTTGTCACAGGAAGCGGTTACCTTGGTTACTATTACTACAAGAGGAGGAGCCAACAGAGCAGTGGCGCTCCACCCCATGTGGCCACGCCCTCACAGGTAGGTTTGAAAATGCTGCTTCTTTTTCTGTCCTTTTTAGGGGGTGGAGCTACGTTAAGGTAAATTAAAAAATACCACAGAACCGAGGGGACGGGCCTATCGAAGAGGTTCTGAGGCAAGCTCCTCCTCTTATGTGACCTATGTAGAAGCATTTGTGTCGACAGTCAGCCAGTAGTTTTGACAAGAGTTGATGACATCACTCTTGACTGATCTGAGCACACCGATTGGTTTACTGGGTGAAAGGTGAGAGTGATGTTACACTGACTGCTCACATGACTTTGTTCCTCGCCTTCTGATTGGTCCATTTACAGATGGTCTGATCTGTTTAGTCCGACAGTAACTAGGCTCATTCTGATTTGACCAGACTGCACCTATTTGACCCGTTCATCAGTTTTCTCTGATCAATAGCTGTATGGATCAGCTGCAAGGAGTGTGACTGATAATCATCATTGATCTGTCTGTGAGCTGCCCACTCTGTTCTTTATTCCGACGGTGTAAGAAAGGCGAGGGGGCGGAGCCTCTCAGCATTAATGCCTCACCATCTGTCTCCTCTTCTTCTTCTGTGTTCTGGCTCTGAGCACTCGTCAGTTCTTCCTCTCTGTCACTCTTCGTCCTAATGTGTCGGCGGCCGGCTCGGCCTCCAGCGGCGACCTCTGCTTCAAACGTTCGTTCATGGTGAGATTCTTCTGCCATCGCCGCGGTGACGGTGGCAGCACGCGGCAGAAGCGAGACCTGCTGAGGCAGGTGAGGCGGCGTGTGGCCGATGGTGAGAGTGAGAGAGATGGAGGAAGACGAGGAGTGGGAATGAGAGCCACGGCACGATTCAGGTGGGAGTGGAGATAAAACAGAAGAGGAGGAACTGGGACAGACTGTCAGGCTGGATTTAAACTTTATATATTATTTTTAATTTGATCAGGGTTGGGCTGACACTAACCTGTTGAATTTGTTAAGGTAGCAGCTTTTAAGGTGGAATGACTGAATTAACTGAGAAGCTGCAGTTTGCCTTAAAATCTTTTGCAATTGATTTTTAGTAAATCAGCCAAACTTATGTTCTGTTATTGATCTGTCTAGTCAGCTTCTGTCTGAGGGTCAGAGGTCTGGGTCGGACGGACACATCTTTAATAAACCTGTAATCCCTGATAACATTTTAAACACAAGAATCGAAAAGATACGATTAAAGTTTCTGCTCAAACCCAGACAGGTAAAAACAGAACGGTGAGTTTAGGTTGTTTTCTAAAAACAAGATTGAGTTTATTTTGTCTAAATGTCTAAGAATAAAATGTCCATGTTGACATGTTTGGAAGGGAAATGGATTTGTGTCCTGTTCGAAAATAAAAACTTTAAATTTAACTCATTAAAGACAAACTAAACATTTCCTGAAGATATAATCTCTAATCTGTTCCAAAGGACAAGACACATTAAAGCAAAGTGAGAGAGTTGTCAGCAGATTTGAGATGAGAGACGTTTGAATAGACAAGCAGAGAGAGAGATTATAAGGGGTATTGTTCAGATTAAAGCGGATTATGGGATGTGTGTGTGGATTCTATGGAGACTTCTCATCATTCGCTTAGAGTCGTTAGCTTCTTCCCAGCTTGTCTAGTGCTAACCTGGCTAGCTAGCTGCTATCACCAACACGTCTTCCGGCGCCGCTCTGTGATTGGTCTAAATTCTGTGCCTGTTTTTCCACAGTAGCTTCAGACGACTGCATCAGAGGCCCTCAACCCTGCTCCTGGTGGTCCCTTGTCCTACATGTTTTAGCTGCTTCCACACACCTGATTCAAATAATTGAATTACGTGCTCAGAAAGTCATCGGGTTTAGCAGAACCCAGTCAATGACTCATTGATTTCAGTCAGCTGTGTAGAAGCAGGGACACATCTAAAACTTGCAAGATCACCAGGGTCAGGGACCTCTGAACTACACGACAGCTGATAAACAGTTGGCCTTGTTCACAGTAAAACTGATGCTAATGAACTGTTTGTTGGGGACTGTCAGCTGTTGGAAAATGTTCTGCTGCTGTAGTGATTTCTCCTCCACCTCTCTCCAAAGCCCCGCCCACCCTGCACCTGTACACATTTGCTGTTTATGTTGTCTTTAATTGTTTTTTATTTTGTGGATTTTCAGTTCTTCCTGTTTCTATCAGAAGACCACTGTGTCTCCACCTACTTCCTTTTAGCCCCACCCCTTTTTGACATTCTGGTTAAATCTCATGATCAGGCTCCGGGTACCTCGATTGGCTCTCCGTCATCGTTTGAGTACGCTCAGTAATGGTGTCTGTCACCCTGCCCCTTGGCACTGCCGGCCAATCGCCTTCCTTGGCTTCATTCTGTCTGTCAACGCCCTGCGGCCACTGGCCAATCGGGTAAGAGCAGCTGTGACGAAGGATTCTAATTGGATGATGGGAAAGTGGGAGGAAGAGCAGTGGCCATATTTGTACATCCTGTTTTGAGTCTTGTTTTAAAAGTAATTTTAAAAGTCTTTGTCGATCGGTTTCCTTCAGTTGAAAACCAAGACCAGACTCTGACCTGAACCAGATGCTGACCACCAAGACCATAACCAGGACCAGACGCTGACTTAAAATGGCCAGAACTGAACCTGGCCTGCAGAAACTCAACTAGGACCAAACTCTGAACTTTGCTCTATTAATCTCTGATGACCTGATTTTACAATTTTTGATCATAAAGCTGTAGTTTGTGTTTTCCCCTGAAGGTGACGTTGTACCACTCCTTTACTATCAGATAATCATAAAGAGGTAGTTTGTTCTCACCTGAAGGTGGTGTTGTACCACTCCTTCTTTAAAATCAGATTATTGTAAAGCGGTAGTTTTTCCGCTTAAAGGTAACATTTTACAGCTCCTCCTTTAAAACCAGATAATCATAAAGCTGTAGTTTGTTCTCTCCTTAAAATGGCATTGTACCGCTCCTTCCTTAAAACCAATTGATTGTAAGGCTGTAGTTTTTTTTTCTCCTGAAGGTGGCGTTGTACCGCTCCTTCCCGACTCGACTTCTCTCTCGCACCTGGGGTCGTCTGAATGGCGTGGAGCTTCCAACCTGGCTCCGTAAACCCATCTTCTCACTCTACATTTGGACATTTGGGGTCAATATGCAGGTTGGGATTCAAAACCAGATTAGTTCTATTTGCTTTGTTTAATGTTTGTTGTTTTTAACTATTTGTGTTTGTCCGCTAGGAGGCAGCAGTGGAGGATTTACATCATTACAAAAACCTGGGTGAATTTTTTCGTCGACGTCTCAAACCTGCTGTCAGACCAGTTTGCTCCGCCTCCTGCTTGGTAACCTTTTTTTCTGTCTGCAGGTCTGAAAAAGGCTGTGAAACCTTGAGACAGTTGTAAAATGAGGGCTGACATAGAACTGGATCTTAGAGAGAGACTTGTTTATAACTAGAAGAAGGAGGGTGTAAAAATGGGTCTGAGACTAGGAGACCAACATAAAATTTAGCTTTCAACAAAAAGACTGGTACAGAACTGGGTCTTGGACTGGGAGGCTGATGTAGAACATAGAATTGGCAGTAGAGCCTGAATGATATATCGGTAGAGCCGATATTTTAGGCCGATATATGCATTTGAGGACCGATCGTATCGGTGATAATTGTCCCATTATGCACAGATATAAACACTTGTAATTTTCACCCCTAAAATGCTGGGAACGAGCCGTGTCCTTACTCGCAAATTGTGTAATTGTACAATGTATCCAGCAGAGGGTGCATGCGGACTACTTTCAAGTCATGGCCGTGCACTTTAGGTTTCACTTTCAGCACAGCCAAAGTAGGGAGCAGTACTGTGTAGCATATTTTGCTGAACAGAGCATGGTAAGTTTATTTTAACTGATCTATAAAAAAATTAATCAACAATAATAAATTCTCTTCAATCCTCCAACCCACTTGTCATTAGCTACATGTCTCTCAAGTTAGCAAGCTAATGTTTAGATAACCTAGCATAGGTTATTGCCTTGTAAAAATGTATCCAGAACAATAAATCTAACATAGAGATAAATATATATATATATATCAGTGTTAGTAACGTTATCTTTGTTGTCCTCGATGAAATGCATTGTTTGTCTGAAATCTTTACTTCTCTGCAAAGAAAAAAAATCACTTCTGTGGTCAATACAAATTATACCTTCCCCTTATATGAATGACTGTTTGACAATGATCAGGAAAGGACGTTTCTTTGTTTGATTTATATTTATGTTACACACTTGATAACTTTATGGTGAAAAGTGGAGGATAGAAAATTTGAACGCACGTTAGGAAGACTGTTTCAAGATTCCAAGTGTTAAAACAGATTTAAAAGTAGCTGCTTATTTAGTTTCTTGGATTTGGACAAAGCTCACAATTTTCAGCTGTTATATTAGTTATCTGCAACATCCTTCTCCTAATATCAGTATCGGTGATAGCCAAAATTTCCATATCGGTCGGGCTCAAATTGGCAGCACAATGGATTAGCGGTTAACCCTGCTATCCTACAGGAAGAATGTCCTAGTTTCAATCCCAGGTTTAGACATATGGTCTTTCTGTGTGGAGTTTGCATGTTCTTGTTTTTGTCTGGGTTTTTCTTTGAGCACTTGGGTTTCCTCAACACTCCAAAAACATGTGAGACTGCCTTCAGGCCCAGGAGGACCTTTATAAAAGATCTGTGATCCAAATGGGGTTTACCTAGTTAAATAAAGGTCAAGAATTGAGTCTTGGACAAGAGTTGGACAGGAGTACTGGTATAGAATTACGTTTTGGACTGGGAGACAGGTGTATATAACTGGGTCTTGAACTGGGACACTTGTGTAGAAATGGGTCTCTTTTTTTCTCTCTCTCTCTCTCTCTCTCCTAGGGTCTTAGCCTAGGAGACCAACATGGAATTGGGTTGTAGACAGAAAGACTGGTATAAAACTGGATCTTGAACTAGTGCACTATTGTAGAATTGGGTGTTTGACGGGTTGACTGGGAGACAAATATAGAATTTGGTCTTAGACAGAAAGTCTGATTGAGTCTTAGACTGAGTCTTAGACTGAGACATGAATGTAAACTAGATTTCTAAATGGGGAACATGTGTGAAACTGGGTCTTGGACTGGGAGACAGGTCTAAAACTTGATAGACTGAGACCCAGGTGTCTGATGATACTTTGTGATGGTTGTTGCACAGCTTTTAGCTACAAGCTAGATATTTAGACTGGGTGTTTTTGACCAGGTTAGGGTCTGTCTTTTGGTTCCAGACCTCTCCAGCTGATGGGAAGATCCTCCATTTTGGTCAGGTGAAGAACTCAGAAGTGGAACAGGTGAAGGGGGTTACCTACAGTCTTGAGAACTTCCTGGGTCCACACATGAGGATCAGTGGTAAGGTCACATCACCAGGCCTTCAGATGTTGGTCCTTTCTGACTAATCAGACCTCTTCAGTGTTTCCATGTGACCAAGTTAATTTTGACATGCTGAGATCTGCAGTTCTGAGGCTAAAACAACTAATAATGTATTTCTGTCTTCAGTATCATCTTCCTCATCTTTCCGGGATCTCCTCCTGTCATCTCCTGATAATGACCTGTTTCATGTCGTTGTCTACCTGGCTCCAGGTGACTATCACTGCTTCCATTCACCTACTGACTGGGAGGTGGAGCTTCGACGTCACTTTCCAGGTCTGTGCGTTCACCGAATCACTTGTTTCCATTTTGCTGTGTGCTGACATCCCATATCTCTGTCTCGTGTTCCTCTTCAGGTTCGTTGATGTCTGTGAACCCGGGCGTGGCTCGTCGCATCAAAGAGCTCTTCTGCCTTAACGAGCGTGTGGTGCTTAGTGGCCAATGGCAGCACGGCTTCTTCTCGTTAACAGCGGTTGGAGCTACAAACGTGGGCTCCATTAGACTTTACTTTGACCAGGTGAGGGATGGTCATCAGACCAGTGACTTACAAACAAAAAAACTTCCCGCCTTACATACGCTGCCCTATCTCTTGATGTTAATAAAAAGGTCTCTAAAGATATTGACAAGATGCAGTTTAACTTCATTTGGAAGAACAAACACTATATTAAAAAATCTGTAATTATGAACTCTTATGATAAGGGTGGCCTCAACTTTTTGGACTTTTATGCCTTAAATAACACATTTAAATTAAATTGGCTAAAACAATTTATGAAAAACCCATCTTCAGTTTGGAACATCATCCATCCATCTATCCATTATCTTTACCCGCTTATTCCATTTTTTTGGGTCACGGGGGTCGCCGGTGCCATGTCCAGCAATCACTGTGCGAGGGGCGGGGTACACCCTGGACAGGTCGCAAGTCCATCACAGGGCCACATAGAGACAAACGAGACAAACAACCATTTACTCTCTCACTCACACCTAGGGACAATTTAGAGTTACCAATCAGCCTAACATGCATGTTTTTGGTCTGCGGGAGGAAACCAGAGTACCCGGAGAAAACCCACGCATGCACGGAGAGAACATGCAAACTCCACCCAGAAAGGCCCCTGGACCGGGGTTTGAACCAAGGACCTGCTTGCTGAGAGGCAGCAGCTCTACCAGTTGTGCCACCGTGCTGCCCTTGGAACTTCATACCAAACTTTATTTTCTCTAAATTAGGAGGCCTAATTTTCTTTCTATTTTGTAATTATAATGCTGAAAATGTCCCCTCAAAACTTTCCAGTTTTCATAAACAGACGCTTCTCTCTTGGTCATTGATTGACAAACATAATTTCTCTCCACGGAGATATTATATTTGGAACAATAGAGACATCTTGCATAAAAACAAATCCTTATTTTACCCTAATTAGTTTATTCACAACATTTAGTTCATCAATTGCTCAACCCTGATGGATCATTAATGTCATATGAAGAATTTGTCATAAAATATAACATTATGATCCCTATCAACAAATTTAATATTGTAATAAAAGCAATCCCTACTGGAGTAATTATTTTACATACAAGTACAGCAGGACAGAGCTTCTGGTGACTGAGGGATGGCAGCGAAGGGCTGAGTCTCCACACCAAAGAGAAAATAAATCTCCCCTTAAGTCAATTAAGAGGGTGAAATATTAAAGTGGAGAGCATTGGGAAGGGGAAGAGATGGCTTCAAAACAAAAAGGCAAAAAGTCTACCCCCGCTACGAATAAGGATAACAGAGTAAGGCGATACGAGGCCGAGGTTGCAAGCCATGCTATTGCTAGTCCTAAGGCTGCTAGCCCCGCTGATATTGCACAAGCTGCTGCTGGCCTGGCCAAAGAGATGGAGGAAGGAGGAGAAAAAGCGGTGTGCCTGGCTATTGTACTTAGAGATAAGACACTTTCGACAAGATAATAGTCAAAAACTTGAATCGATATGAGGCGAAATTGCAAGAATAAACAAGAGACTGGATGAGGTGGAGGTGCGAATTATCGATGCAGAAGAGAAGCTGGAATGTATGGATGAGGTGTTAGCGAGATTGCTAACAATTCAAGAAAAGCTTCAGGAAAGATTGACGGACCAGGAAAGCCGCTCCAGGAGAGAAGATGTGAGAATATATGGAGTCCCTGAAGGAGTTGAAGGGGAGCCAAGGGCAATGGTGTCCTTCATAGAGAAGTTGCTTAGAGGGAATCTTGGCATCCCTGACTCAAGGGATATGCTAATTGAAAAAGCTCACCGAGCTCCCGCACCGCGACCCCCGTTGGCATCTCAACCCAGATCCATTCTGGTTAGATTCCAGAGCTACAGAATGAAAGAAGAGGAGCTAAGATTGGCATGGCAAAGAACGGGTTTCACGGTGGATAATAACCAGATCTCACTGGATCATGATTATGCCCAGAAGATCCTACTGAAGAGGAAAGAATATGGGAAGGCTCGAAGAATCTTGAAGGCAAACGACATTTGATTTCAGACCTTGTACCCAGCACGTCTGAGGGTGTTTTTCAAAGATGGTGCCAGAACGTATGTGTCGGTGGAGGGGGCGACGGAGAACCTGGCGGAAAGAGGATTCCCAGTGGAAGTAATAGCTCGACCTAAGACGCTGTTGGAAATAATTCAGAAATCTTCTTGGCAACAAGTGGAAGGAAGGCAGAGCTCGGTGACCAGAAAGGGAAACTACAAGGAGCGATTGCAAGTATATCGGAGAATACGGTGGAAAAAGTGTAAGAAAGGGGTGAATAAGGTAAAACCACAGAAGATTACACTGAAGGACATGGGTAGATGCATGTGTGGACACATAGGTGAGGGCCCACATGAATATAAACGTTATGAGTATGTATGCCTGCGTGAATATGTGCATATATTATTATAAAAGCCGAACTGAGAGTGCAAAT